AAATGGTTGAGTAAGGCTATGCCTGTATGTCTGGTTGGTGTGATGTGTCTGCGCCTCCAGTCTCCACCTGCGGTGCGCGGTTGGCGTTTGGCCTTCTCGTCCCCTCATCCCCGTTGTCCATAGTGATAATGTATGTGGTGGGATGGTTGGTTTTACCATGGTTGGTTTGGAATGTCTCTTCCTCTTGATGTCGTTCCCTATCCCCCCTTCCCCTCCTGTCTCCCTGATGCCGCCTTTACTGTGTGTGGTGATTTGTGCCTCTTGTGTGTGAGTCCATATCCCCTTCTTCTGTTCTTGAGCGAGCCGGACCCCCATCCCTCGCCTGCTCCTGGGTAGGCCATCACTAGGCCTGTGTGGAGGGTCCGGGTCGGTCTGCTCCTTCCCCCTCTTGATCGGTACCTTATGTGTAAGTGGTAGTTACGGCATACAATTTGTCCCGTTCCCTTCCCTCCCCTCCCTCCCTTAGTCGGCATCTCGTGTGTGGGGTCACGATGTACACTTTGTTCCATTCCCTCTCCCACTCTCCTCCCTCCTCCCGCCGCACATCCCCAGGCAACTTTCTATAGTTACATGTCCCTTCAGCATAACTATTGTGCTGTATTGTCTCTCGGCCCCAACGATATGACCTGTATTATACTTGCATTTTAACGGTGCTGGGTGGGTCTGTGGGTCCGAAGAAAGTCTCTGTGTCTGTCCCTGTCTGGCCCAACGTAGACAAATGTCCCAGCCAGAATTATGCGTGCCTTAGGGGGTTCGTTGTTCGACCGGGAGTGTCTGTTGATTGTGTCCACCCAGGTGGGTCAGGTCTCCGGTGCTGGGGAGATCGGGGTGGGGGGCGCAATACGTGGGTTAAAGTTCCTGGTAGTTGTCGGCATATTCTCGTTTAGGAGGTGTGTGAGTCTCTCTTGAGCAGGCAAGTTTTCTATTTCGGAGTTTGCGCATCCGCTGGTCTGGGGCTTTGCCTGTCTATTGTCTCTGTGCCTTAGCGGCCCCGTGGGCCTATCGCTTGTTGGCGGGTGGTCATCAGGATCTGAGATCCCAAGTTCTGGATTCTTGGTCCCTGGGTCGGGGTATAAAGTGTTAGGGGGTCCGGCCATTGTATGTGCACCTGGGTGATCAGCAGTTCCCTTGTGAGGGCTTCCATGTCTGCCCTTTCTTTTACCATAAATGGGCCCTTCGGTGTGTGTACCTGGAGTCCGGCGGGGAAGCACCATCGGTACTTGAGCTTGTTCGCTTGCAGCTGCCTGGTAAAGGGGCGCAATGCCCTGCTGTTTGCCAGTGTTGTGGGAGATAGGTCCGGGTAGAGCTGCACCTCAGTGTCCTCCAGGAGTACCCTGCCCGCGTCTCTGGCCCTCTTCAGTATTTCTTCTTTTAACTGGAAGTTCGCCATGCAGCAGATGATGTTGCAGGGCTGGCTCCCCGAGGGGCCTTTCGGCCTGAGAGCTCGGTGTGCCCTCACCATTTCGATCGGCCTAGTAGCTTATTAAATATTTCCGTCAGTGTGACCTGTACTGGGGCCTTGTCATCCGTCTCCTCCGGCACCCCTCGGATTCTAATATTCTGTCTTCTGCCCCGGTTGTCGAGGTCGTCCAGGTGATGTGCTATCTGTTGGAGCTGGAGGGTTCTAGTTTGCAGAGTGTCTGTGATTGCAGACTGTGTCACTGACATGTGGTCGCAGTCCGCCTCGAGTTGAGACACCCTCTGGCGCAGGCCTCAGAATTCCTCCCGCATGGCTTGAAGCTCCGTCGTGATGAAGGTGCGGAGTTCGTTGTTTGCTGCCTTCAGATCGGCTTTAGTGGGTAAGTTTCTGATCATGTGCGTCCAATCTTGTTGCCCTATCACGGTGTTGGTGGTAGAGTTTCGGCTTGGGTCTCTTCACCACGTGTGGAGGATGAGAACAGCTCACCCAAGGCCATCGAGTTGTTGGACGCCTGTGCATCGCGCTCCGCCGGGGTCAGCATGTATTGCCGTACCGATGGGTGCATGGTCCCCTTTGGGGTGTCCGTGGGCTTCGTGGCTTGTGATTCTCGGTTTGATTTGCCCATTTTCAAGGCAGTAGAGTGCTTTTGGCAAGGCTGTGTGTGGAGCCTTTGAGGGAGCTCAGGATTTACACCGCCACCTTCCTCGGCTTCCAAGCCACGCCCCCTCGTTAAACAATTTTTTAATAAGGCAAGGAAGTTGTTATGGTGCCCAGAGTGGTTCTTTCAATATAATAACAGCTCCTGGGATTTAACCTTTGCCTTTTTTTTATTGTTTTTCTTTGTTTTATGACTTGCAGGGTTGGTCTGTCAAACAAATTAGACAAATTATTCATTTTTTAAAGCATGACATGCCAAATATTAATGTTTTAATGAAGGAAATGTTTTTGCATGTGTGAGCGTGTGTGGGAGGTGCCTCAGCTGATCTTTGATTCCGACACTTTGGGCTGGGCCTGTGTAGATGTTTTAATTTTATCTATTTAAAATGAGTCAGCATCCACCTGCACTTTGTAGAGAGCAGTCATGCTTACTCCACAGTTAACATATCAGGAATGAAAACCATAAATATAATTCAGTATATTCTGCCAGAATCATCCAGAGGATGAAAGGGTTCACATATTGCAGAAGCGGACTGAAAATGTTGTACATCAGCAAGTAAAGCTAACCCAGCTCAGCACAAGGTGGCAGAATTCTGTCACATGCAGGGCTAATCACTAAACTTGAATGTGTGAAAATTGATAAGGGGAATACAAACTTTAAAGGACCACTCTAGGCACCCAGACCACTTCAGCTTAATGAGGTGGTCTGGGTGCCTGGTCCAGCTAGGGTTAACCCATTTTTCATAAACATAGCAGTTTCAGAGAAACTGCTATGTTTATGAATGGGTTAAGCCTTCCCCTATTTCCTCTAGCGGCTGTCTCATTGACAGCCGCTAGAGGCGCTTGCGTGCTTCTCACTGTGAAAATCACAGTGAGAGCACGCAAGCGTCCATAGGAAAGCATTGATAATGCTTTCCTATGCGACCGGCTGAATGCGCGCACAGTTCTTGCCACGCGTGCGCATTCAGCCGACGGGGAGGAGAAGAGGAGGATCGGAGGAGGAGAACTCTCTGCCCAGCGCTGGAAAAAGGTAAGTTTTAACCCCTTTCCCCCTTCCAGAGCCGGGCGTTTTCCTGGCACTATAGTGGTCCTTTAAGCTAAAATAGCAGAGATGGGAAAATATTTCCCCCCTAGTTGGCCTTAAATTGTAAATTTTGTGAAATTGACAAACTTCTGGAAAAAATGTCCAATCTATTTACCAAGAGGATCCAGGTTTTAAATAAGCACCAGTTTTGCTACAGAGAACTCAGTGTGGGGTAGGGTGGGGGGGTGGGGGGGCGGGGGGGGAGAGGAAGCTATTTTTTACCATCCTGAGGTCTCGCTGTCTACCTAGCAGACACAGCTAATCAGAGTGCACAAGATGCTAGTCTACCAGTAGCGGAATTAACTTGGTAGGGACCAAGACCAGAGATTGGGAGCTCAAGCAATACCTTCAACTGGATGGCAATCAAACACTGTGTGGACTACCAAAGCTCTACTTGGGGGTAGCTGTGGGAGGGGAATGCACTGCACCAATCAGCATTTTCTCATGGAGATAAATTGGATCAAAACATCTCTATTGGGATCGTGCAGCACTAACCCAAGAAGCAGTGGTTGTATCTGAAAAGGCAGTGTTTACATCAAAAAGCCTGCAGGGACAGGCTATAGACACCAGAACAACTACATTAAACTGTAGTTGTCCTGGTGTCTAGTGTCCCTTTTAAAAAAAGCTATCACTTGTTATAACACAATCTATATTTGTTTTTAATATATGTTATATCCTAATAGGCACTTTAAAGACAGGTTACATTGTTTTTTATATATATATATATATATATATGAAGCTATTATATAAAGGCAACAAACAATATACACAGTCAGGGCCGGCCTTAAGGGTGTGCGAGCTGTGCGGCCGCACAGGGTGCCAGGAAGCAGGGGGCGCAGCCGACACAGCTCACACATGGCCATCTGGAATTTAAAAAAATGTAAATAACTTGTGGCGGGGGTGGGGCTTCCCGTGCTTCGCCGACGGGGGAGACCTAATGTGCATCTGCGGCAATAGCCACGCACGCACATTAGACCTCCCCATAGGAAAGCATTATTCAAGGCTTTCCTATGGAGATTCCGTCGACGCTGCAGGTACTCATGCATAGTGTGAAGTCATCCAGCGTCGTTTAAAACACTTTCCATGTTTTAAAAAGCCGGAACTCCGTCAGGGTCCCCCTCCCGCTGGGCTGAAGTTGGAGGAAGGGGGTTAAACACTCACCTTTCTCCAGCGCCTGGCTCAGCGCTGGGGACTCTCCTCCTCCTGCCAACGTTATTGGCTGAATGCATATGCACGGCAAGAGCCGCGCGCGCATTCAGCCAGTATATAGGAAAGCATTCTCACTGTGAAAATCACAGTGAGAAGCACCTGTAGTGGCTGTCAGTGAGACAGCCACTAGAGGCTGGATTAACCCTAAAGTAAACATAGTGATTACAGCAGGCAGGGTTAATCCTAGATGGACCTGGCACCCAGACCCCTTCATTGAGCTGAAGTGGTCTGGGTGCCTGTAGTGGTCCTTTAACCCTGCAAGGTAATTATTGCAGTTTAAAGAAACTGCAATAATTACAGTTGCAGGGTTAAGAGTAGTGGGAGTTGGCACCCAGACTACTCCAATGGGCAGAAGTGGTCTGGGTGCCTGGAGTGTCCCTTTAACTTTGAATTCCCAACAGTTCTCCCTTTAGTAAACAACCCTGACAGTCCTAATAATATTAATACATTATTTAATAATTAAAGATTAATAATAAAGCGTTTGAGTGAAATGACAGCCCATGGACAAATCCAAAGGTCAGTGGCCCTTTAAGTCGCATCACGTGACCCGCGATCTGCAAGTTCACCATTACAAGGCAAGCTTCGCTGTAGCACGTGGTGAGTCTGGCATGCAGAGGGGGTTGCCCTCGTGACGTCACGGGGGAAGTGGGCGGGGTTAAACTAAGCCGGTGAAGGATTGCCTGGCGGGAAGGCGCTGCGGAAGCATCAGACAGTGGCCGAGAGCGGACACAGCGAGTCACTGCCATTCTCTGTCCTGCTGTCACCCTCACGTCCGCCACCATGCCGCCCACCGGCCGAGAGCAGCTGAAAGGCCGGGTCCAGGAGCTCATCGACAGCAACCTGGTCATGGTGTTCAGCAAGAGCTTCTGCCCATTCTGCATCCGGGTAAAGCATGGAGGTGTCTGTGGGGGGGGGGTAATGGGGTGTCTGTGGGGGGATGGGGTTTGTGATGGGCAGGATGGTATAAGCCTAGGAATAGTCAGCCATTGTTACTCCAACTCCCATGACAGGCAGCCGTTCTCCTCACATAGTATGCCAAGCTCAGCCATCCCTGGCTGCTAGAGGTGGAGGGCCACCTGGGGTTTCATTTCTTTCCTGTTGGAGGCTTTGTTTTAACTCTTCCAGCACTCTGGGGATCCATTGGCAGCTATGCTTACAGTGCTGTTGTAAGAGGAGTATGTCCAAAATGGTTCCAGATATGCCTGCCTGCTGTGCCGTATACTAACTTATTGTTACAGATGTTTAAATAAATATGTATAGTTTGTGCTATATTCTTAGATCTCTCTACAGCCCTTGGTGTCCATTCCATCCCCTGTTTATGTGTTTGTGGAAAAAAACTAAATAATGAATGTTCTGATGTGTTCCCTTGTGCTCTGTATATGTGTGGTCATGTGCACCATATTGTGTATATATGAAGAGGCAAACATATGACCAAATGTACTTTGGTTTATGTTACCTGATTTTCATAGAGGAAATGTTTTGCTCTTTTAATGGACTTTCTCTGAAACATAGAATGTGACGGCAGATAAGAACCATTCGGTCCATCTAGTCTGCCCAATTTTCTAAATACTTTCATTAGTCCCTAGCCTTATCTTATAGTTAGGATAGCCTTATGCCTATCCCACGCATGCTTAAACTCCTTTACTGTGTTAACCTCTACAACTTCATATGGAAGGCTATTCCATGTATCCACTACCCTCTCAGTAAAGTAATACTTCCTGATATTATTTTTTTTTTAAACCTTTGTCCCTCTAATTTAAGACACTGTCCTCTTGTTGTGGTGGTTTTTCTTCTTTTAAATATAGTCTCCTCCTTTACTGTGTTGATTCCCTTGATATATTTAAATGTTTCTATCATATCCCCCCTGTCTCGTCTTTCCTCCAAGCTATACATGTTAACATCCTTTAACCTTTCCTGGTAAGTTTTGTCCTGCAATCCATGAACCAGTTTAGTAGCCCTTCTCTGAACCCTCTCTAAGGTATCAATATCCTTCTGAAGATACGTCTCCAGTACTGTGTACAATACTCCAAGTGAGGTCTCACAAGTGTTCTGTACAATGGCATGAGCACTTCCCTCTTTCTACTGCTAATACCTCTCCCTATACAACCAAGCATTCTGCTAGCATTTCCTGCTGCTCTATTACATTGTCTGCCTACCTTTAAGTCATCAGAAATAATCACCCCTAAATCCCTTTCCTCATATGAAGTGACACATTATTTCGTTGTGAAATCATATTTCAGTTCGTGCTTAGGGTTCTGCCTAAAAATGTATGCTGAAACAGTACTTATTCGGTTTGGTTTTTGGGGAGGGGTTTTTTTTTTTTTTTTTTTCTTCAAATACACTAACACTGACAAGATGGGGGAAAAAAATTGTATGAAAATCTTACATAGAATTCATTAAAATGTAATAGAAATGTCATAGCATTTCTATTGCTATAGTGTTCCTTTCAGGTGAGCATATCTTCTGTCCACTTCTTCCCTGGATCACTGCACACCTTTCGGGGTCTTTGCAAGATGTGGAAAAAACATGAAGGTAACTGAGCTCCTTTTAAAGGAACACTCTAGGTCAGCGTTTTGCCACTAGTATTCCGTGGAAACCTAGGTTGCACTACAACAAAATTGGGGTTCCGCTGCGATTTGCTTGTCGGGTGGCCCAAGAATTTATGTATGGGTATCGCTAAACAGGGGTCAGTCACCGTGTCAGTCTAAGACTGCGACTGGACCCCTGTTGTATTGGATGCTGGTAGGAAGTAATAGCGATTCCTCGCAGACAGTGTGCCGGTTGGAGGGAGAGGGGGAGCAGCGGGGACTGAGCAGTACACTAGGGTCAGCCAGCAGCACTGAAGACCCTCCTGCAGAAAAAAGGTAAGTGAACAGCAATTTTTCACGTGTTTACCTGTCAGTATGTGTATCTACCAAGGTGTGTGGATCTCAGTATGTGTATCAGTGTGAATGTATCAGACACACACACACACACACACTCTCTCTCTGACAAAACACTAACATACAGATATACACACACTGACAGATATACTGTGGTGGACCGCCTGGCACCCCAACTGGGTGCCTTCACCAATCAATGCTCCTAGTGCTCACCAAGTACTCCAAGCTCTCCACTAGACACCATCAGCACTGTAGTCCTCACTTCCAGCGTTACAGCTTGGTTGGGGTCTTGCTGTCCTCTACCCACCCTGGACCCAAGACCAGGATCCAGCTTCCAGTGGGTAGATCTCTCCTCCAAGAGAGTGTAGCAATATGCTCTTAAAAGCAAGGGATTATAATCCCAGGGGAGTATAGTGATATAGCAATTCACGGAGTGATACAGCTGTTCTCCCCCACACAAGATAACTCTATGTTGAGGGTAAGCAGGAACTCGTTTATTGGTAGCCACAACTGGCCTTATATGCAAGTCCCCATGCATCGGCACTCCCCCTGGACCTGAGAGTAAACCACAGCAGAAGCAAACACACGATTACATTGGTTCTCAGATCCAGGACACTCCCATACATAATGAGAAAATCACTCCCCTGTGCCTGGGAGATAATTGGATCAGGAACTGTACTAACTTCTCCAGGCAGAAAAACACACATTTCAGCAGTACCTCGAAAGTACTCCTAAAACCCATGGAAACCCCACTAACGTTACGTCCCCTGATAACCCGATCTGGATGACCAACATATCAAAAATTCACCCAGATTGGTTCAGGGATTCAGGATTTCCATGCAAGTCCATATCCTGCCCAAAAGAGTTCCATGAATTCAGGCTGTGCGGTCGTTCTCTTTCGGGAAAACCAAATAGTCCAAAATACCGAACATAACAGTTCATGGGTAGATTCAGTCTATGCCTCTCGTTCGGGAGCTTGCTCCCAACAAATGCCGCTCTTCTCATAAGAACACAACCGAACATACTTGGAGATGGAAGTCCCAGCGGTGTTCGCTCCGTCTAGTGTGTCCAATTATAGTTCCATGTACTCGACTACCAAGCACCGTTGTATGTGATCGTGGCTAAAGATGGCCGCTGTCACGTGTTCGCACATACGAACGACAGCCACCCAGCTAACCACTTAGAATGTTGCGGTTGAGGTATTGATAGGGGTCAAAAGAGTCAACAAGCAGCACACAACTGTTCTGTGTGATCGGTCCGTTCGACAGTTAATTCGGTATACAAACAACATTAGTCTGATTTGTTTAACAAGCCCCAAATACCGAACCATACGGCGCCACCCAAAGACTGCTAACCCCTGCAGTAACCTTTAGTATTTAGTGTCTCTTTACTGCACCACTGCAACTTTTGGAGTCTTTGCTGAGATTTGTGTATTCTGTTTTTCTCATTTTTCTTGGCACGATTTGTTTTTATGATTTTTGGGATACTACCATATTGCCAGGCTGCTTGTTTTATTGGGAAAGCATATCCTTTAACAAACTTTGTATTTTCACAGGTTAAAGAACTTTTCACATCGCTAGGCAGAGAATACAATGCTCTTGAGCTTGATGAATGTGGTAAGTTTTCTATACCGAAATACGTTCTTATGAAGCAAGTGCTGCCATACACTAATTCAGTGCTTCTTTTTGAGAAGTATTGTATTGGTAGAGTGTGTGCCATAAGTCTGTGTTGCTTCTCTATGAAAAGCATCAGATTGAACTGGAGAATATTATTGCATGTTGATTATCTCGCAATGGATCAATGAGGAGACTATAATCTTGATTACAGATGTGTTTAAAAGGACACTTCAAGCACCATAAACACTAAGGTGTGGTTATGGTGCCTGGAGTGCCCTTACACCAGTCCCAGTGTAAATAATCAGCACGCTGAAGAGGTAATGGTGCGTGGAGTGTTCTTTTAAAAATACGTGATCTATTTATTTTAATTACAGCAATGGGCTGTAGTAATTTTAAATAAAGGGACACTATAGTCACCAGAACAACTACAGCTTATTGCATTTGTTCTGGTGAGTAGAATCATTTCCTTCAGGCTTTTTGCAGTAAACACTGTCTTTTCAGAGAAAATGCAGTGTTTACATTACAGCCTAGGGATAACTTCACTGGCCACTCCTCAGATAGCTGTTAGAGATCCTTCCTTGGTCATGGCTGCCTAAAATGCATCCAAACATTCAGTATCTCCTCCCTCTGCATGCAGACACTGAGCTTTCCTCATAGAGATGGATTGATTCAATTCATCTCTATGAGAAGATGCTGACTGGTCACAGCTGTGTTTGACTTGCTCTGGCTTTGCCCCTGATCTGCATCCTTGACAGTCTTGGCCAATCCTATAGGGAAGCATTGTGATTGGCTCAGACCACCATTTGTGATTATGTCAGCAGGTCTGAGGCAGAACCAGCAGCTGCAGACTTGAATACAAGTAAGATTTTAAAATTTTGGGGGGCACCAGGGGGGCTAGATGGTGGTTTATAGGGTCAAAAATATACAATTGTGTTCCTGACACTATAGTGTGCCTTTAACCCCTTAAGCAGAGTAAGTGATGAGAACCGCACCCAATCCCAACGGCCAAGGGTGCTCCAGAGCAGGACCAGCAATCCCAGTACAATAATCCAAGAGGAAAAAACTCACAGGCACTCCAACTTCAAGCCGCAGGCAGATTTATTATGACAGAATGCAACGCAACCCCTTAAGGACACATGACGTGTGACATGTCATGATTCCCTTTTATTCCAGAAGGTTGGTCCTTAGGGGGTTAAAAAGGTACACATCTAATATATATATTTTTTAATGCTCAAGCGCTCCTGTTTATTTAGTCTTAAAAGAATACTATAAGCATCAAAATATCTTTAACTTAATTAAGCAGTTTGAACAGTGGACAAGAGCTATACACCCAATTACCTGCTATTTAGGAGTTAAAGGGATTCTACAGTGCCAGGAAAACAAAGCAGTTTTCCAGGCACTGTATGTTCTTACAGTGCCCCCCTCCTGTGGCATTAAAGGGGTTAAAACGTCTTTAGCCACTTACGTGAATCGAGCACCGATGTCCCTCGGCGCTGGGTCAGGCTCCGACAGCAGCCAGCAGGGGAGACCTAATGCGCATGTGTCAATGGCCTCGCTCGCGTTAGCATTTCCTCATAGGCAATTTTAATCACACACAAGAGGCTCCTACAAGATCTGAAAGGCTATTAACAGTGCATGATACAAGAGGTATTTTTTTTTAATTAAACTATGCAATAGAGGTAGTTTAAACATTGGGTCTCATTTTACAGGGAGTTTTTAGGAAAGCTGTGCAATTTACATGCAGTGAGTTGGGAGTAGGGCTGCATAAACAAAGTGATTTTACTCGTAAATGGCAGAGAATTGAGCAGAGAGCCTGCATGGGAAGGATCTATACACCAAAACCACTTTATTAAGCTAAAGTTGTTATGGTGACTAATCTCTCAAGTGACTCTATCCCCCACACTTTCAGGGATTCTGAAATGTATACTTTAAGGCTCAAGTCAATACTGATGTATCTTTCCTGTTTTTTTTTGTTTTTTTTCCCACCATTCCTAATGAAACAGTGCGATGACCTTAGCAAGCCTTTCTTTTGTATTCTAAGTTTCTTACTAACTGGTCAAATATGATTGACTTGTTATATGTATGCAAGAGAGTGTTGGTGTAGGACAGCTGTGTTATGACAGAATTGTGGCAGTTTGTTTTTCCTCTCCACTCTGTTTTTATTTTTTGTATGTGTTCATTGTAAATCATGCTGCTTATCAAAGGAAAACAAAAGAGCTAATTATCTAGTGCATGTAGTCATGGTGGCTCAAACTCGCCAGTCCATGTAGCAATAAAATTAGTTTATTCACTAAAGTGAACAGGATTTCAAGGTGAATTTCAAATTAAAGGCTAAAATAGCAGAATTTAAAAAAACTTTCCAGTTAAGGTGTGCTTCCAGTTCAATTACTTTGGCCTTAGACCATTCTTTGCATTCGGGATACGGTAATTCTCACTTTAATATCACTGTTAAAGGGACCCTACGGACAGAGCACTTTAGCTTAGAGAGTGTTTTCTTTGGGCAGGAGTGTTGCTTTAATGTTTTACTTAATGCCTTTTGTAAATACGTAATTAAATGCCTTTTGTAAAGATGTCTTTAATCACTACTAGTCTACATTATACATTCTATTAAAATATGGAAGCTAGTAAAAAGGAAAAGAGGTTTTGCCTTACCAAATGCTCTTTCCAAGGTTTCTAGTAATACTCATATTTTTTTATTTATTTTATATATATATATATAAAAATATATTCAGAAATTGTACTAAGCTTTACAGCTATTTGGGTATTGCTCTGCATGTCTAGCATTTTCACCAGTCAGATCAGTTTGAAGTGAATATGCTGCTTATGTGACTTGGTTTAAATAGGACAGGGGCATGCAAATACTGGTATTTCTAATTTGAAACAAATGGGATCTATACACACATTGTTGCTTTGCTACTCCTATAGGGTTCTTAGTGAGAACAGTAATTGTATTTTACCTCTTGGCCACTTGGTAATTTAATCAGGTGACAGGAGGCAAAGTGGAACCCAAATGGGTAATACAGAAGGTGCTTCTAAGAAATCAGGTTCACCAGCTTCTTATTCTGTTGTTCACAAATCTGGTAGTTTTGTTTGTACACTGTTTGTAATGAAGCTATCTTGTTAGATTCACCATATTTTCAACAAACTGTACTGATCTGTACTGTGTTTTTTGCATTTTAGACGATGGCAGTGATATTCAAGAAGTCCTTCACGAACTTACTGGGCAGAAAACTGTCCCTAATGTTTTTGTTAATAAAACCCACGTAGGCGGCTGTGATAAAACACTTCAGGTAAAATCTACTTCTGAGTGAAAAGCGTCTGAAACCATTCGCGACACGTTGACATGTTTCTTTGGTCTTCTGACTAACTGTTAACATTGTTTTATGTGACTATTTCTCATGCAAAGATATTTTGTAGTTATATGGAAATCATACATTTATACAATGCCATCTGCTCATGTGTCGCCAGTAACAGTATCTAACTGTTGTGGATTCTGGATCTAAGCAGCCCTGGGTATAACCATTGGTGCTTTTTTTTATTTATTTTTTATTTTATTTTTTTTGAAAGGTCCAAGCACCATAATCAATACAGTGCAGTTGACCTTTTATCTTGGGCTCCGCTTCCTGCCTCTCATTTTTCCATACGGAGAGCTAGAAGATCCTGCTAAGAGCTTCCATGAGCTCTTCTGAGCTAATGTTCTGCAGCGTTGGGTTTAGCGAGAGATTTCAGGCTGCAGAAAAGCAGGGAATGTAGTTACACTATTGGCAGAAGGTTTGACCACTTACAGGTTGCAGCGTGCAGTAGTGGTGCTTTGAGTGCTTCAATAATTGTTCTTGCAAATTTCTCCTTCTATTAAGAGAGCAGCTAGCACACATATAACTCCTGTAATGGCATTTCACTATATGAGCAGCCCTCAAGTCATAAAATCTAAACTGCATGCTTGCCTAATAAAAATAAATATATATAAAAAAACTGTATGTATGTATGTATACACAGTTTTTTTTTTTTTTGTGCTGAAAAAGCCCCACTTGGCTTATACTCGAATCAAGGTCTTTATTATGGCAATCTACATTGCCATAATACAGACCAGGACCGGCAGCAAGCTGTTACTCACACTGTGAGCTGAATGGAGCTGCTACAAAAGGTAAGTCTCGCAAGACCCGTGGCCATCAGAGCGTTGCCACGGGTTAGCGTGGCAATGCTCCACGCAGACAGCGAGACTTACACTGGGAGGTGAACGGAGCTGCTACAAAGGTAAGTAACAGCTTGCTGCCGGCCCCTCCCTGCACAGCCCATGCCACTGGACCACCAGGGATTGCTATACCCTCTCTCCCTGGCCAGGTAACAAGCAGGGAGGGAGGACCAAAAAAAAGGGGGGGGGAGAATGAAAAATTTAAATATGTAAATAATAAACATGCCCTCCCCCAACCCAGTATACAAACATACACACTGTATCATATACACACTCTGTGTGTGTGTGTGTGTGTATGTGTGTGTGTGTGTGTGTATATATATATATATTCACACACTCTGCAAACAAATATTCAATTAATGTAATTTTATTGGGATCTATTTTTATTTAGAAATTTACCAGTAGCTGCTGCATTTCCCACCCTAGGCTTATACTAGAGTCAATAAGTTTCCCATTTGTTTGTGGTAAAATTAGGGGCCTCGACTTATACTAGAGTATATGCAGTGTTTGTATCTCTCTCTCTCCTTTAACAGCAGGTGTAGCTCAGTCCTGTATAGATTAGACTTAATGTCTTGTATAACTGTCATATCCAAAATGAGTTTTCTTAGAAATGAAATGAACCTGTTGCGCTTGCATGTTATCTATCTTGTGCAGATGTCACACTAATGCATATGCACAAAGGCCACCTGTAAAGGAAAAATAATAAAATCCGTAATTAATATGCATGCATAAATAAACTCATGTTTATTTTGTTTTGTTTTTTCATATGTGAACACTAACGCTAGGACCAGTGAAGGGGAACACCTGTAACAGCAGTAGTGCAAATTGTTTTTTTTTTTTTCTTGGAATATTGCAAGAGTTAGATTTTTCAGAAACAACTTGGTTACTGATAAAACGCTTGATCAGAGCAAAGTCTACATTTGTTACTTGAGTCATCAGTGCAGGTTATTCAATTAGTGGGGTTTGCCTTTTATTTTTAGATGAAATCTACATGGATGGTGCATTTAGTACAACATTGGAATACTTTGTTTCATACATATGTTAAACATTTTTGAAAACAGAATTTTAGTATAACCCTGAAGTTGTCAATGAAAGTGCTGTTATTGGCACCCCCATTTTCCTCCTAGCTTTTCTGTGGTGTGCACCAAATTTGCAGATTTTAGTCTTTTTACGGGGCAATTATTCCTCATTGAGTGCTGTTTGACTCAAATGATTTACAGAAATGAGGCCAGCAAATTGAACAGATTGAGACATTTCAAAAATAAATTTCAATGTCCGCTGGTTAGGGCAGAGTGTAAGTGTCCCTGGACAAAATATATATATATATATATATATATATATATATATATAACAATGTCTCTTCCAGATGCTAGGGAACCAGGACAATCTCGTAAGTGGGCTACTAGAACAAACCATTCCTGGACATAAAGTGAGAACCTAGACCTGCTTCACTGATACAACAGCAGGCCCAATAAGAGGGGCTACATGAAATATGTTTAGACTATGTGACTGAATAAGAGACAATCATCTAAACTAATACCAAAACAGCTAGTTACACAACGCTTCAACATAGTGAAGAGCAAACTAGTGTCACAGCTGAAATTAGGTGGACTACACAAAATAATATAAAGGGGCCATGAGGAAAAAACTTCCATACCCCCACCTTTACCTACAGAGAAGGATGTGGAAAGTTTAAAGGATCACTATAGTGTCAGGAAAAAAAGCGTTTTTTCTGACACTATAGTGGCATGAGGGTGCCCCCAAAACCCCTTCAGCCACTTACCTTATTCCAGGGCCGGGCTCCCTCGGAGCTTGGGACCTCTCCTCCCCGTCCGTGACTGGGACCTCTCCTCCCCGTCCGTGACTGGAGCCACTAATGCCTTAAAGGGACACTATAGTCACCCAGACCACTTCAGCTCATTGAAGTGGTCTGGGTGCCATGTACCTCACGTTTTAACCCTTCACATGTAAACAAAGCAGTTTCACAGAAACTGCTATGTTTACATAGCAGTTTTCAAAGTGTCTATAGGAAAGCATTTCTCAATGCTTTCCATCGCGCAGAGCTTCCACAGGAGTCGAAATTCGCCTCCAGCGTCGCAGATGTGCCCCTAGTGGCCGTCCGGAAGACAGCCACTAGAGGCCGGATTAACCCAAAATGTAAACATAGCAGTTTCTGTGAAACTGCTTTGTTTACATGTGAAGGGTTAAAACGTGAGGTACCTGGCACCCAGACCACTTCAATGAGCTGAAGTGGTCTGGGTGACTATAGTGTCCCTTTAAGGCATTAGTTGTAGGAGCACTCAGGGGTGTAGCAACCAAAATAAGAGTGGCTGCAGCAGATTCCAGGAGACATCTGAGATCTCTGTGTAGAAGAGGGCAGTTCTAGGAACATTTGAGATCTTCGCTCTTTTAGAAACATTTAAGATACTGCGCAAAATCCTTATTTTTCCCAGGCCACTGGTAGGGGACCTGAGAATGAGGAATACACAAACAAACCACCCAGAGGGGATGAGAAAAAAAGTATATAATTATAGATAATATGGTAAGTCAAAGCAGTTGCTTTAGTCTTTCAGTATGTTAAATCTCCCCAAGAAGTTGATCTGCAGCCCTGAGGTTGAAACAGTGGGGTGTATTCACTAAATGCTACATGGTAACCATATAACTGCTAAATGTGGTTGTGTTGTCACAAAAGGCAAATGTGGTTAAGTTCAGATACTTGTTGACCCAGCTATTCACAAACCGCTGAATTGCATTTTGAGTTGTTCCAATTTCACTGATATAGACCAGGGAAGTGTTTCTAAAATTCTAAGTCTATGTGATGCACTTATACAAGAGGATGTTTCCGGGTAGCAACAATGAGAACCATCTGAAAAGAGAAGGTATCCATTCAGCTCAATTTTCTTCATTTGTGCATACAGTGAAATGACAACTAAATGCAGGAGAATTTAGCCAAATTAGGAAAAGCAAAGAGACCCCAAGGTATTTATGGTTTAAAGGACCACTATAGGCACCCAGACCACTTCAGCTCAATGAAGTGATCTGGTTGCCAGGTCCCTCTAGTTTTAACCCTGCAGCTGAAAACATAGCCGATTCAGAGAAACTGCTATGTTTCACTGAGGGTTAATCCAGCCTCTAGTGGCTCTCACTGACTGTCGCTAGAGGCGCTTCCGCGATTCTCACTGTGAAAATCACAGCGAGAAGACACTGGACGTCCATTGAGTAATGCTTTCAAATGGGTTGTTCGAATGCGCGCGCGTTTCTTGCTGCGCATGCACATTCAGATCTGACGGGGGGTGGAGAGTTCCCCAGCTCAGAGGGAGCCTGGCGCTGGAGAAAGGTAAGTGGCTGAAGGGGTTTTAACCCATTCAGCCCAGAGGGTGGGGAGGACCTAATGACCCTATACTGCCAGGAAAAAAAGTTTTTCCTGGCACTATAGTGCTCCTTTAATGTAAGGGTATCTTTGGCACCCCATAGGCCTGAGAGCTTGCTCCATGTTAGTCATTATTTTGATAGGTTGTATCCCCTTCTGGTGCTTCTGTTTTGACTTATAAAGGTGTTCGCTTTCCACATACAGACTTGTTTTTATTGTTCCCTTTTCTTTTAAAAGTTAACTTTTTTTTTTTTTTTTAACATCTGTATGTGTAAAATGTTCGTGGACTGAACCATTTCTGACTGCACGGACCTGTAGCTTTTGTTTAATAAACTATTTATTTGTTACAGGCTCACAAGGATGGAACCTTGGGGAAATTATTTGATGAAAACCATATAAAGTATGATTATGATCTTATAATCATTGGTGGTGGCTCTGGAGGACTGGCATGTTCAAAGGTACAGTATGTGTAATTTATATTGTACTTCACACTATCTGCTCTTGCTATTATTTATTAGAACTTGATTTGGGAGTAGACAGAACGTGTTTTTGTTTGTGTGTGGTGGTTTTTTTTTGTTTGTGTGTGGTGGGTTTTTTTTTCAAATTTGAAAACTGCATTAATTCTTTATTACTACATTGGAAACCCAGCAACTATGTAAATCTTTGTTTAAGAAACGCACTTTGTACCAATCCAAACACAAACCTAATTTCGTGCCTTGATTTTGCATTTTCTAGTTTGTGCTGGTTGAATGTTAACCATTTTCAAGCCCAACAATGTTGGAACTCTCACAATAATTATGGATTTGCCTACTCCTTAAAGGATTTAAACTCACAACCATATCAGAGCATTGTGTGAAATGATTAATATGAATATGATTCCATTCTGTACAGTGATTATTACTTTGAAATATTGCTTGTAACATAGGAGTTTGAATTGTGGATAGACTGTGCTGTCTCTGATATCTGGCATCCTGATTTTAGTATCTTCATCTACCTCTGATCACGCTTAGCCATATTGCACTGGTCCATCATGGGTACTGAAATAAACAGTGGCTCAATATCTGCTGTTTGTTTACATGGTGTAAAGTTTACAGCTTTCTTTCTAAATACTGACCATTAACAGTATGCTGTATGATGCCTCTGAACCTAGTTTTGCTTGTTGATTAAAAAAACATACTCCTTGTTGAGGTTTAATTTTCTTTTGTTTCTCTTGTTTGCATAGGAAGCAGCTGCCATGGGGAAAAAGGTCATGGTTCTAGATTATGTTGTACCCACACCTCTTGGCACTTCATGGGGTAGGTAAACACTACTTTTTAAAGATGGTTAAACTAGTCTTTGATCGTTATTATCTAGTTCTTGATGTGAATGTGAAGTTTTTTTTGTTTTTGTTTTTTAATTCTTTTCTGTGCATTGAGAAATGTAACAAAACATACCTGTGCTGCCTTTTCAACATAGGCAGATTAGTAAACGGCATTGTTTTTGCCATGGATCAGAATTGGTCCATATGTTTTACAGTTATAACATAACAGGAGCGTAAGATTGGCAGCAAGCATATAGTGTGTGTCTTATTGTTCTATGGTTGGAGGAGCTAACCTGCGTCGTAGTAGTCGGGGAGAACTTTGTGGTCGTGTTTCTGCACTTTTTTCTTTTTTTCTAATGGGTCGAGTTTGCCCATGCGGTAGGTTCCCATAGGGTGGGATGGTTGTATCTGTTGATTGGGTCCTTTTGAGTGGTTAAGTGGCACTTCTCTCGGCTGTTTGGGTGATTGCGAAGTTCTGGCGTTCATAACTGGTTAAATTGGTATATGTACGTCTGTGCCTGAGTGTGGGTTTTGTGTCGTGCTTGCTATGCTTGGATTAGTAGGTAGTGTCGACCCCTAACCTAAGAGGGTCACGGGGGTTGGGAGTACGTCTCGGTCTTTGTATGGAGAGTTATTAATAAAACTTTGTATTTCGTAGTGATAGGGTGAGCTCAGAGAAGGGAAGAGAATAGCAGAGCAGAGGGGACGAATGGTACAGTTCTTTCTGGGTCCCATGAGTGTGGGGCTGGTGTTGTTCCCGGTGCTGGGGCGTTCTGTATTAGTCACAATTTTTGGAGGGGCGCCGGGGCTTCCTAGAGTGAGATGAGTTTTAGAACACCTTCTCTGCTGAATACCGCCAGGGTTCTTGGCAGCAGCCATCTGTATTCTCCGTTCCCCTTCCACAGGTGTTCCGTTACGTTGCTCAAGGACTTTCTCCAGAGTAGGGTGCTCCGCGTGATATCCTGGAAGAAGGTAAGTTGTGAGGCTTCGAAGGCCAATGGTGTCTTGTCTCTCACTGCTGCTAGTATGCGGCGTTTCTGTCATGGAATGGCAGCGGACGATTATGTCCTTTGGAGCCATTGTGGGTGCCCTTTTCTCTTTATTAATGCGGAAGTGGCTGTCAAATTCCAGCTTTTTGGCTTGCGTATGTGGCAGTATTGTGGCCGTGAGTCTCCTCAGGTACTGTGGTAATTCTGATGATCCCTGCGTCAGGGATACCCCGGATCTTAATATGTGTGTGCCTGCTGCATCGGTGGGTAGCCCTGGGAGCCCTGAGGTTGTAGCTATGGGTCCCGCAAGTCGATGGGGGCCCCCCCGTACCTGAGATGCGCGGCGGATTGTCTGTTGGTGCTGGGGAGCTGTGGATAATGGCGTCCATTCGGCTCCGTGGTTAAGCTCCGCCTCTCGAATGTGAAAAGTTTTAAATACTTTTTTATTAAGTTTAGTTGACTGGGAAGCCCGCTTTCAACACAGCCTCGTACAGCAGACACAAGAATACAGTGGTTGCCAGTGAGGTGTAATCAAGTGATCTCTGCCACACAGGCTTGTTTTTGGATTGTATTTAGAATGCAACCTGACAAGTGTGGCAGATGGTATTTGTGAGGAGGAAATAGCTCTGTTTTGTGGCCCCATATAAACTGCTTAACTTTCCAAGGTTTTAATTGTTGATATAGGTTGTTCATGAGTCATTCCTCCCACAATCTCTTTGCAGTAGTAGAAAGCACTACACTCTTTGGTTCTATTCTGGAACAGATTAAGTTAACAAGTTGATTTTTGTCAATTAATTTTCTTGAATTCCAACATGTTAATGTATTAGTGATGAAATGGTTGTATAGCATTACTATACCTTTCACTCATCACTGCTGGCTTCTTGTTCCATTTCCTACTGCAAATAGCCCATTTACAGATTTTTTTTTTTTTAATTTTTTGATTTTATTTTTTATTTTTTTATTTTTTTCATTCAATCTTTTGTAGGACTTGGTGGTACCTGTGTTAATGTTGGATGCATTCCCAAGAAGTTAATGCATCAAGCTGCAATCCTAGGACATGCCCTTAAAGATTCCAGGAAATTTGGATGGGAATATGAAGAAAATGGTAAATTTTAGCTATTCAATCTCAGGATGGACATTATGTTCCTTTTCCAATAATGGGAACCCAATTTTGGGTCTTGACCTAGAGTTTAAAGCCACTTTCCTATATGTAGGCTATGTTCCCCTTCATATATACATGATTTAAGTCCTATTTCTTCTTTTTAAATTAATTTCATTTGGTATCATGCATATATCACAGTCTGGCAAGTAGCCAGACACATGCAGCACTATCACTGTGAAACCTTTGCATTTTTCAAGTGGAATCAGTATTTACAATTATTTGGTTAAAGTTTACAGTAGGGATACATTTATTATGTGGACACATGGTTTGTATTATTTGTAAGAGGTCATAAGATTTAAAGGTTTAGGCTTAGAGTACTTAATTTTGGGATGAAGGAAAGAGTTTGAGTAGGTTTTAGCAAAGTACTTGCCTTCCTATGATTGATAGTACAGCTTTAGCAGCTGTTATACGGTGTGCATCACTCAATGCTGTCCCTGCATGGCGCACTTCCTTTGTGAGAGACTGTTAGTGGGAAAATGGGGAGATGATCACTTCCTGTCCAGCCTCACACACAGACACTGGGGGAGCTGGAACAGCAATGAGTTTTACACCCTCTGTAACTGTTCCTGTAGCTCTATCAAGCATAGAATGCTGACTGGACTACAAAGGACACTGGCCAAGGTTCCTGGTTCCTATCTCCCCTCACCAGCCCAGCTAATCTCCAAAAAGGCACATTATACGTGCCCCCATGAGGATAGGTGTCTGCATGAAGAATAATACAAAGGTTGGGATATAGCCAGATTCTAAAACAAATACAAACCATACATAGTGATGTATAGTTTTAACTGTGACACTCGGCAGTAATAGATTGCACTCACAAGATGGAAATTCAAGAATCTCCTGAAAGCCCAGAACAGGGCTGCAATGGTCCGCTCTCCACCTTGGGTAGTAATGGATAGTCAGCAGGCACAGGAACTTCAAAGGATGGAGTCAGGAATCCGGTACAAAATGGGTATTTTATTAGGCACAAAACACCGATTAAAAATATATAGTAAAAGCAAATACAAAAGTATAAATAAAATATCTGTGGTGTCTGCAGACAGTGCCTACTCTGCCTAATGGGAAATCTGGCACAGAAGGCACCATTGTGAAGAAATGGAAAATGATTTGTAAAGAACCCAAATCTTGTTGTTATCATCCTCGTTAGAGCAACTTTGTATTTAAAGTATTTAAGTGACATCGGTGTGTTTAGAAGGGAAATCCTAGTTCTCTGATGTTTAAAGCAATGGCATGGTACTCTACCAAACATTGAAAGGTACACTGTAGGCACTATCTGCTTAATCTCATTGAACTAATTAGTGTCTGGAGTCCACTGGTGCCAACGTTTCAGGGTTAAACAGTTTGTAATGTTTTCATGAAGCGGTCCCTTCCACTCTTTCCTAGAATTAATGAGGTAATTGGACAGCTGTGATTTGGCTGGTGACTATTAACAAATTAGAGTGCCCACTGCCGGTATGAATGGCTATGACTTCAAGCAAGTGTATAATCTCTGCCTTCCGCACACCTCAAGTAGGGAATGTACTGTAGGTGAACAGGGAGCCTTATTTAGTGTTGAACTTCTTATAAATGATTAAAAAGTCATACTATCATAACAAAGTGTGATGGTGTGAAACCCCATTCTATGTTTTGCTTTCAGTTCGACACAACTGGGATACCATGAGAGATGCAATCCAGAGCTACATTGGTTCCTTGAATTGGGGTTACAGAGTTGCACTGCGTGACAAAAGCGTCAGATATGAAAATGCCTATGGAGAATTTGTTGAACAGCACAAAATAAAGGTTTGTGTGTGTGTTGTTTTTTTTTTGTTTAACCCAATTAACAATTGGGTCATTTGCCTCTGCGGTTGATGGGAAGTTTAATTGCCAGACTGTCTACATCTGTTCAGTTTGATGCTTTAGTGCAATGTGGATCCACTTTCTCATAGTTTTAGATAAACGTAGTCCTTGCATTTGTAATATTGCAGCCTGAATGGTTAATTTCTATTTTGATGCAATGTAATTTTTTTACAAATAGGCAACAAACAAGAAGGGGAAAGAGGCTTTCTACACAGCAGAGAAATTTGTAGTAGCAACTGGTGAGAGACCCCGATATTTGGGTATACCAGGTGATAAGGAATACTGCATTACAAGGTGAGATTCCAGTGGCAAATACTAAGTTTTCATCTCTTCCGTGCAATAACTGTTAAAATTGTGTCATGCCAAATCAGGATATTAGAAAATTTAATTTCACTATCTGGGGTGTATTTAGTGCATAGGTAGTCAACCTGGTCCCTACCGCCCACTAGTGGGTGTTTTGGGATTTCAGGTGGGCGGTGGTGGGTTCTGTAGAAAACTCCTGTTGGGCCTAGTTGGCCGTGAACCAAGCACACTATACTAAAATATTTAGAATGGAAGTGTTTTTTTTTTTTGTACAGCAATGGTGGAAATCTCAAGTAAGTTGAGAGTGGATGAGTTAAGAGTTCAGATCAGGATTGCAAAAACTTTCTCTTAGCTGTAAAGCAAAAAGAAAATCCTCAAACATTTTCTTATCTTATCAGTCTTGTTATAAAAATAGTTTAAATTCCTTTGTGGGAGGGGCAGGCAGAAGTGGTGAAATTAACTTGTGGATTATGAGGAAAAAGCAGTAAATGTTGGGTAAGAGGTAAAGCAACTTGTATTTTTTTTTTTTTTTTTCTTGTGTAAGCTTGCAATAAATCTGGAATGCTTTATGTTGCATTCTCTGCTTTTGCAGTTTTATTCACATATGCAACTTTATGCTATTGTACTATAAAGTGTCTCTTGGTTCATTGGCTGAGAGCACCCATCTGATTGCTCTCAGCCAATGAGCTAAGCCCTGCACTGCCAGGCTTAGCTCAGAGCTGTAAATGTCCGGTTGGCAGGAGGCAAGGAACAGACACCAAGTAAGTCAAACTAGTTGGTCTGCTTACCTTGGGGTGGGATGCTTCTGTTGCCATAACCATTGCTGCATGCAAGTATGGTGTGTTCATTTCTAAGACGGCTGTTGGGTCTTGTTTATACATGGGTTAACATGGCTGATGTGTCTTCGGAGTAAACCCTGAATAAGGTATGCCCACAATTCTTTGTCAACAAGGAGAGTACATTAACATTCTGTGCCATGAATTTGACATGCAGTTTGGTGACACTTTATTTTATTAATTTGAAAAAGCTAATTTTTCCCTTTTTCAATTTTTAAAGTGATGACCTGTTTTCCCTGCCCTACTGTCCTGGAAAGACACTAGTTGTTGGTGCATCATATGTAGCTTTGGAGTGTGCCGGATTTCTTGCTGGTATCGGCTTGGATGTCACTGTTATGGTGCGATCTATATTTCTCCGTGGCTTTGACCAAGAGATGGCAAACCGAGCTGGAGATTACATGGAAACACATGGAGTGAAATTCATCAAACAATTTGTGCCTACTTCGGTATGAAACTGCTAGTTTGCATCTTTCCCAAAGATTATTGAACTAATTTAACCTTTTCCTGATGATATCCCAAGACTTTTAATATATTCTGGTGAAGACTTTAAATAAGCTGAAAACTGACAACGGCTCGAGTAGCATGCCTTTTAGTTCTTCCCTGCTAATCACTTATAGAGATTCATAGCTGTTTAATCCAACTCACATAGGCAATTCAGATATGAAATACCAAGTGATTCCCTCTGCATGAGAAACAGTGCAAACCCAGACAATCGCTACACCTCGCTGACTAGGCCCAAAAATGGTCAAAAATATTATCTGGGGTTGCTGAAGTTCTTGCACAGAGGGAACTTTGCCAGCAATTCATATCTGGACTGCCCTTTTGGATGGGATTAGTATATGCCTGATTCTCTCAGTAACGGCATAAGTGAGTTAAAACATGATTGAGACCAGAGAGCTTGTTTTGTACCCTGTTCTCATATTCTGTTTTTGGTTCAATACTTTTTACACTGCTTGTTATGTCACCATTGTCATTTTTTACAGGTTGAATTGCTAGAGGAAGGAACACCAGGAAAGCTAAAGGTTGTAGCAAAGTCAACAGAAGGCGACCATATTATTGAAGATGAATATAATACAGTAAGGATTCTTCTTTCTTTTTGCTATTCTCAGAATTTGATACAGAGACAAATTGTTAGTGTTCTATTAGTAGCCATTCCAGATTACATTTCAAATTTGTCAAATTGACTAACTTATTATGCAGGGAAATATTTCCTTGCCTGACATTCTGAAAGAAAACATTCCCTGCCATTTGCTAGTCCATTTAGAGGCGCTGCTTCACATGGCTCAGCATATCACAGGAATCTGAAACCTGTGCCATATTGTGTTCAGGATTGGAGCATCATGGGTATTATTGCCTGCAACTGCTGGAATGGCAAACATCCACCATCACCCATCCTGGCATTGTGCTTGTGCTGTTTAAGCATTGTCTTTATTTCTTACATAGATAAGCAATTTGTGCAGGTAACTGCTTAGAAGCGCAAACACCCTTTGTGTCCCTTTTTGTTTCTAGTTTTAAGTAATAGGTTTCTTTTCCTACAGGTGTTAATTGCAGTGGGGAGAGATGCGTGCACAAGAAACATTGGCCTAGAGAAGATTGGTGTTAAAATTAATGAAAAGTAAGTAGATTTGAATCTTCACCATATAGTGGGTTTTCAAAGGGACTCTGAATTAAAGAGCTCCTGGCTCCTCCTTTAAAATGTACATATCTGTGTTTTTGGTATGTTTTATTTTTTCATAAGGTGGTTTTTTTTTTTTATATATATATATATATGTGGTGTGTTTAATGAATAGATTATTTTTAATGGATTAATATACTGTGACTGGGAAAAGCACAATACACCGCTTTGAATATAAAACGTTGAGAGAACTGTACATATTTAATAGTCTCAATGCCTTTTCAGATCAGATGAAAGCGATTTGCTAATTCTTTACATAGGCTCCTTCTGCCTCAGAACTATACACCTGTAATCACACAGAAAAGCAGGAAATTTATTTGCATGCTGGACTATCAATACTTTTTTTGCCTAATTATTTTCTGTAACTTTTTCAAAACTTTTATTTTAATGATTGTGGAAAACACTTTTTATTATCCTACATGGTTTTTCTACCTCCAGGAATGGAAAAGTGCCTGTCAATGATGTGGAAGAAACAAACGTGCCTTATGTCTATGCTATTGGGGACATCTTGGATGGAAAGCTTGAGCTGACTCCAGTGGCAATCCAGGCTGGTCGTCTTCTGGCCAGGAGGTTATATGGCGGCTCCACTTTGAAGGTAGCCTGTTGAAATATTTTATTGCTGTATCAAAACATGTCATGGGACAAAATTAAACACCTTTTGACTGTTTTTTATTTTTTTTTCTGGCAAAAATGTTTTGTTTGGGAGCCCCCTGCCCTGGTTTTCGTGTCTTAATTTGAATATAGCCATACCATGGTCGTTACTGTTTCCTTTACTTTAACAATCTCCGAAGAATATATAATCACTGGTTAAAGCAGGTGGGTCACTGCTGAAGGAGAACTACGGTAATGCATTGACCAGTCAAGAACTTGTTTTTATGCTTTATATTGAGTGATAGCAGGAGAGTGCAAGGGGGTGCGTTCGATATTCAGTGTGTGACTAGACTTGTTCACTGTGAATGCTTCAGATTTAAATATTATAGAGTTCTGTACAGTTAAAAGGTTAAAAAAAGTAGTTATTTTGCAACTGGTTCAGACAAACACATTATTGAATGGTGATCAAAAGTGCCTGCAAAACATAAGATGTATTCAGAATAGGAAATGTAAATGCTTTCCGCAATAGTCCCACCCAGATCCACATCTAGTCTCCGTGACCTTAATTCCCTGCAGGATGCTCACTGTGCTACAAGCCTACAGGAAATGGCAGTATGAGCATTCTGGCACCAGGGCTTATTTAGTCAAAGAAACACATACTTTCAACCTTAACTGGTTAAATTGACCTATTTTAGAGCCATAACTACACTTGTCCCTCCACTTGTTTTCACATAATCTAACAGCCAATGATCTGTTTTTTGCAGTGTGATTATGTTAATGTTCCAACAACTGTGTTCACTCCTCTGGAATATGGCTGCTGTGGGTATGCAGAGGAGAAAGCCATTGAGCTTTATGGCCAGGAAAACCTTGAGGTAAGATCATCTCTTGATAAAATGTCCCCCCCCCACAAACCCATTTCAATAATAATGTTAAGAAGTCTGTCAGTTCCAAAAAGTGCCCTATCATTCACTAGAAAATCAGAGCCTGTTCTATTTAACTTAAAAAATAAATGCATACAATTATTTACCCATGTTTATACACTGATTATATCGTAACAATGGCACCTGTCAAGGTGTGGGGTTTATTGGGCAGCAAGTGAAGTCAGATGTTGATTTTCATGGGTAAGTGACTTTTTTTTTTTTTACAAGGGCTATATAGTGATGGTTAGAAGACTGGATCGGAGCATTTACAAAATTGCAAGTCTTGTTGGGTGTTCCCAGTATGCAGTGGTTAATAACGATCAAATGTTGTGCAAAGGACAACCAGTGAAATGGCCTGAGGGTCATGGACGCCCAAGCTCGTTGATGAATGTAGGGAGCGAAGGCTAGCCCATCTGGTCCGATCATGCAGAAGAGCTGCTGTAGCTCAAATTGCTGAAAAACCTAATTCTGGCCACAATAGAAAAGTGTCAACACACAGTGCATCACAAATTCTTGCGCATTGGGCTGTATAGCCGCAGACTTGACCCATGATGACAACTACCAAAAGTGGGGATGTTGGCATCAGAACTGGACCATGAAGCAGTGGCAAAAGGTTGCTGAATCGCTTTTTATTTTGGATCAGATGGATTGCTGGGTGCGTGGTTTTGTAAAAAAAATTCTTTATTTTTTGGGGGGTGAAGGGGAGGAAGGTTTTACCTGGGGAAGAGATGGGGTAGCAGCACTATCGGAAGAAGGCAGGCGGAGGAAGTGTTATGTTCTGGGCAATGTTTTGCTGGGAAACCTTGAGTCCTGGCATTTATGTGGATGTTATGACCTGTACCACCTACCTAGAGATTGTTGCATTCCACATACACCACTTCATGACACTGGTGTCCCCCCCCCCCCTAATAGCAGTGGCCTCTGATGGCAGGGATAATGCAGCCTGTCACACAGCAAAAATTGTTCCGGAATGGTTTAAGGACCCTGACGGTTTAAGGTGTTGCCTTGGCCTCAAAATTCACCAGAGCTCAATCTGTGTGATGTGCTGGAACAACAAATCCAATCCGTGGTGGCCCCACTATTTTGCAGCTTGCAATACTTAAAGGATTTAAAGGATCTGCTGGTAATGTCATGGTGCCAGATACCATAGAACACATTCAGAAATCTTGTGGAGTACATGCATCGACACATCAGAGCTGCCTTAACAGCACGAGGGTGTCCTACACAATTTTAGGCTGATGATTTTAATGTCTTATAAGTGTATATGCAATGCTCCACCCGGTGAAATGGATTGTTTGTATAATGGATTTTGTTTACCCTTTTTTAGGTTTACCATACCCTCTTCTGGCCACTGGAGTTTACTGTTGCCAGTCGTGACAATAATACTTGTTTTGCAAAGATAATCTGCAACAAACTTGATAATGTGAGTGCTCTGTGTACAGTTTTTGTATGCTTAATGGTGGGTGGCAAACATTGTCAGGGTTATTAACTTAAGTGCGAATTCACCTTAAATTTGCATTTCAAATTTAAGGTCATTATTCCTGAATTGCAAAAATTCTCTAAGTCTGCTATACTTATGGTCTGGCTACTCTGTCCTTAAATTTGAAAATCACTTTTTATTCACACTTTAGTTAATAATCCTGAACTGCATCTGTTAACAAATTTTTTTTTTATTTTTTTTAAAGTTAATCTCTGGGCTGCATCCCCATTGGTTATCTTGTGTAATTTTACCCACCAGTTAGACCTGCTCTGCGACTAGCTCATGGTCACCTTTATATTCACCTTTATAATTCCTCTTTAAGGCAGTGCAGCAGTATACCAATGTCCCCAGCCCCAAGGGGAATTCATACTTTTATTTACACGCCAGCCAAGTTCATCTAGCAGGCTATCTCGCTTATATCACTACCTAATATAAATCTGAGTCACGTTAGACATGCAGAGGGTGGAGACACTGAATGTCAGTGCTGCACACTGCCCCAGGAAGCACCCTAGTAACCATCTGAGGTATAGCCAGTGGAGGTATCCCTAGGCTGTAATGTAAACACAGCATTTTCTCTGAAATAAAAGTTTGCTGTAAAAAGCTTGAAGGGAATGATTATACTCGCGAAAACTACATTAAAGGACCACTATAGTGCCAGGGAAACAAACTCGTTTTCCTGGAACCATAGTGTTAATAGGTCCCCACCCCCATGGCCCCCCTCCTGCCAGCCTCTAGGGAGAGGATGGGGTTAAACTCCCACTTCCGCCGATATGCGCATGCGTGGCAAGAGCCGCGTGCGCATACAGTCGGTCCATAGGAAAGCATTCTCAATGCTTTCCTATGGACGCTGGCGTCTTCTCACTGTGAAAATCAGTCAGAAGCGCCTCTAGCAACTGTCATTGAGACAGCCACTAGAGGCTGGATTAACCCATATGTAAACGTAGCAGGCAGGGTTAACCCTAGATGGACCTGGCACCCAGACCACTTCATTGAGCTGAAGTGGTCTGGGTGCCTATAGTGGTCCTTTAAGCTGTAGTTGTTCTGATGACTATAGTGTCCCTTTTAACATTTCCAGTTATCATATACAAAGAAGGGTAAATAGGAATCGTTCATGTATCATTTTACAAAATAGATTCCACTGTACTCCCATGGAAGTTACTATTGCATAATGTCCTCTTCTGTGGTAGGAACAGGATGTGTTAAAATACTCTGCAGTGAGAAATCTTTACAAATTGTTTCAAATACGTATTTTAGTATTTTTAAGTATACCACACCCCTTTATAATAAAAGACTTTGCAAAGTCTAAAACCATAAATTGTGTCAACAAAATTGTTGGGGAATTTTGCATTTTTCCACACACAAATATTAACGCTAACTTTGGCCAGTGTTTGTGATGAAGTGGCTACTAGAAAAAAAATGGACATTTGCAATACCTTGGGTTGTCTTCTTTTGCAAATGGTATGCCATCATAGGGGTAATTCTCATTCCTGGTCTACCATACGGTCTCAAAGGCAACATAACCAAACGGGCAAATTTCAGTCTGTATAAACTGAGAAATGGTATGTGCTATATTTGACCCTGTAACTTTCCAAAACACCATAAAACCTGTTCATGGGGGGTACTTTTGTACTTGTGAGACATCACTGAATACAAATGTGTTATTTTATTGCAGTAAAAGCAAACCGTATTATGACCTTGTCAGAATACCATGCAGAACTAAAATAAATAACACTTCCTCACATTTTCCTAGAATTTATTCATATAAAATTGTTTCATATATGAATATTTGATTTGAAATGAAAGCCCTGTTTCTCCTGAACAAAATATGTAATAATTGTGGGTGCACTTCATATGAAAGAGGCAAATTACGGTTGTAAAGATATAGGGTCAAATTCCAGGTTTTGTTTTGATCATAACTTGTACAATTGCCTCCGTCCTTAAGGGGTTAAAAATGCTATCTGGGTACTTGTTTAATTCTAAGTTGCATCTAATTGTTTTTATGATCTTGTCAGGATCGAGTCATTGGGTTCCATGTTTTGGGACCAAACGCTGGGGAGATCACACAAGGCTTTGGTGCTGCCATGAAGTGTGGTTTGACCAAAGAGAAATTGGATGAAACCATAGGCATCCACCCAACATGCGCGGAGGTGAGCAATCTAAAGAAATGTACAGAAAGTATATCCTTGTGTAGCTTCTTATGGTTTACTTTATAAATTTAAAACAAGCAGTTTTAGTTATTTCCTTGTATAATGGTCTCATGGTGTAGAGATTTCAGAGAAGTCATACCTTGTGACTTATTCACAAATTGCTTTTTACTAAACTGTGTGTATTTTTAACTTTTTTCATTCTCAAAAGTATTGGGACACACATCTTAATTATTGAATTCAGGTGTTTCGATCAGACCCATTGCCACAGGTGTATACAATCAAGCACTAACCATGCAGTCTGCATTTGCAAACATTTGTGGGAAAAATTAGTCGTTCTGAAGCGTGGTACTATAATAGGATACCACCCTTGCAATAAGTCAGTTTGTGAAATTTCATCTGTTAGATATTCCATGGTCAACTGTAATTAGTATTGAAAAATAGTGTTTTGGAATAGCAGAAACTGGGCCATGAAGCGCAAGTCCGCGTAAAGTCAGAGCAGTGTCTCACCTGAAGCACATAGTGCATAAGTCACCAACTCTCTGCTGATTCCATAGCTGAAGAGTTCCCAACTTCTGCTGGCATTAATAACAGCACAAAAACTGTGTGGTGGGACTGGAGCTTCATGGCAGAGTAGCTGCCGCAAGCCTCACATCACCAAGTACAAGGCCAGACGTTTGATCGAGTAGTGTAAAGCACACCGACACTGGAGTAGTGGAAACATGTTCTGGGGAGTGACAGAACGTGTTTCTTTGTTTAGCCGTTTGGCGGATACCGGGGGAATGTTACCTGACTTCATTGTGCCAACTGTGAAGTTTGGAGGAGGGATAATGGTATTGGGCTGGTTTTCAGTGATTGTGTATCAGTTTGGGAAAGGCCCTTTTCTATTCCAGCATTACCCTAGTGCACAAAGCACAGTCCACAAGACATTGTTACATGAGTTTTGTATGGAAGAACTTAACTGGCCTGCACAGAGCTTTGACCTCAACCCCCAACGAACACTATTGGGATGAACTGGAATGGAGATTGCAAACCAGGCCTTCTCATCCAATATCTGTGCCTGACCTCACAAATGGTCTACTAGATTAATGGGCAAAACTCCCTACAGAAATACTCCAAAATCTCGAATGTAATAGCCGGGTGTCCCAATACCTTTGTCCATATAGTGAAAAATGTTACATTTCTTTTTAAACTAATCTTTCTAGTATGCATGTGAAAAGGAGGGAAAAAAAACGGTGTTCATTCAGCAGCCTTAAACCGTTGGGGTTTTGTCTTTTTGTTTGCATCTCAGTCAAACCTCATATGACCTGCTCATTGAATAGAGCCAGCCACCACATGTAGATATAAAGAACTAAAATTATAATAAAGGTTAATCAATAATCAGCTGAGGTCTTGACATAATTGTTGGTACAGTTAATGAGTGAAAATGGGGGTAGTATTAAGAAACTCTAGTACTTCCCAGCTACATATAGATTTTCATGACTTTTTTTGATATTGCTCTCAATCTCTTTATTTCTGATACTTTTTCAGGTGTTTACAACCATGGATGTTACCAAATCTTCAGGAGGTGACATAACTCAAAAAGGCTGCTGAGGTTAAGCCCTGCTGTTCTCATTCCCTGGATTTTGTGCCTCTGTTGTTGGCCAACACAATATTTAAGTTAACTCAGGAAAAAACACTATTTTTCCTCTGCTAGGAAACCTGCGACTCCTGTAAGGTTGATATACTAGTAGAACAATAAACTTCAGTTGGTGAAAACTCGTTGGCTAGCCCAGGGGTAGATGTTCGGGGCAAAAAGAACAGCAGGGTAACTGCAAATTCTGGATCTGAACCAGGTTAAAGTGAATTGTTTTCTCAAACTGCTTTTTAATGAAGTCTTTACTCGTCACCTCTAATAGAGGAGAGTTCTGACTGATCACTTGGCTCAATTCGGATTTCATCTTCCAGCTCTCAACTAGGCATCTGGACCGTATTTCCTCATGACTACCCACGTCTGCCGACAGAGCAGCACTACAGTTCTTGTAGACTACTCATGATAATGTTGCCTGTCTGATTTTTTTTTGTTTGGTTTGGTTTTGTGTTTTTGTTCTTTACTCCCTCTGCCCTCTGTCTACAGTTTTAATGTAGTATATTACAAATGACTGTACATACAAGATATTTTGAGAAATGTTTGTATAGACTAGCCAAACATTCAGACATTAAGGATGCTGCTATTGCAGTGTGTATTGTATCTGGTCTGCAACAAAGCTTTGCTAGTGCTGCCTGGTTGACTTTTATTTATCCAGACCCAATCAAATGAAACGACAGGCTATTTTGTATTTCACGTAAAATATCAAGTCAAAACTGTTAGTCTCTAATTCTTAATCCTTTTGGTACCCCATGAAAGTGTGAATTGTACAGACTTGCGGAATTATTCCATAATGAAATAATTTAGTGGGGTTTTTTAATTGGTACTGTTTTTAAAACCTCCTTTGAAAATGTTGCTGTTTAGTAGATCAATGTTAAATACTTTATTTTCACTCCAGTAAGTTGGTTACACAGCCCTCAAAAGAGAAAGTAAGTAAAGTAACAGAATTATTTGTAACTTTTATAAAGCCATTTTCTTCCAGTGCCATTAAATTTAGGGTTGTGCTTTTTCCCCCCCCCCCCCCCCCCCCCATATTTCTCCTTACTTTAAAGCTTCACTCCAAACTCTCTCCTCTGTAGTTTTGCTACATGATCAAGCTGTCACCTATTTCTATATCATAAATAAGATTTTGGCTGCCCAGATCTGATGACAGGTTTAAATATTACTGCACCTTTAAGACAAATGTTTTCTAAGCCATTCATTTATGAATGAGACAGTCTGCATTAGAAGTTGACATGTACCCTTTGGAAATGATGCAGACTCAAAACTGTGTACCCTGTTCTCCAATGTCTGTACAGATCAATAAAATACATTAACTTATTAAGATGTTTTCTGTTCTGTTATTCAGTGTTCCCAAGTTGATAACGTTTATAAGTGGGGAAGAAACAGACTTTCTCTTACATGGAGCTGAATCCAGAAGAGGATGAGAACCTGCATTATGACTTCCAAAGAAAAAAAAACTTCTTTAGAGATGTTTGTTTTTACTAGACTAATTTAGGAAGTAGAAATAGCGTGGGATATGTATAAATAATGGCATAATCTCAAACAAATCATTTTATGCATTTGGACATACTGTTGACTGTCAGTATAATCTGTATAAAGATGTTGAAATGGGCTTTACATAAGAATATAAAAATTACCTTTTGCCTTTACATTGCAGCTCTTCATTCAGTGCAGTTAATGCAGAATGCATCTCTTGTTTTTTTTCTTTATTTTTCAGTGCATATTAGTTTAACATCTGCGCGTGAGGTACACCAACGGCAATCCTCCAGCGTATTTAATATATGGCTATAACAGTTGGGATTTCTTGCGTACATGCACCATTTTATAATTGTTAGTTAAATTTCTAGGCTTAAGCACATTTTAGTTGTACAATAAAAATATTAATGAAAAGGCCTGGCTAGTCACATCTGTCTCGCTAACAGTGTATAAGCTATGCATTAACAGGAGGTTGAGAGACATGCTAAGCTAAGTAATAAAAAAATTAAATTGTAAGATGTTGGGGTGCTTAGCTGACTAGCTTGAACCCCACAGGAGATAATCCTTTTATATTTTTATTTTTTAATATGCAAGTGCTGGCACTAATTGAGCTGTTTTAGACCAGGGATGCCCAACGAGTAGATCTCCAGATGTTGTAGAACTACAACTCCCATGATGCTTTGCATGCCTTTTAGAATGTATTTATCTTGACAAAGCATCATGGGAGTTGTAGTTCTACACCATCTGGGGATCTACCTGTTGGGCAGCCCTGTTTTAGACATTTTATACCCATCTGCAGAAATCTTTGAGGGTTGGTGAATCTACAACTGGTATAGGCTGTACCATTCTTGGGCACCATTTTAATAGGAAAAAAGGGCAATTTCTAGTAGGGGTGGTACTTGCCCAATTTAGCGTCAGTACCCATGTTTCCATGGTATGTCAACAGAACAAGTAATCGTGCTTGTCTTTAACATGGCAAGTTGAATGACCTTCCAACCATTGTGTAGAAAGGTTAATGAACTAATCATTTCGTTAAGATTTGCACTGTGGCAGAGGCCTCTAGACACACCTCAGCAGCTGTACTTACATTAAATGTAACTTTGTATTCGGGACTTATATACACAAATGTAAAAGGGTGTTTAAAGAATGGTAATTAAAGCAATGAATTATAAATTCATGTCACTGAATATTCATGATTTAAAAAAATCTAAATCTCTGCTACACACATACCATGACAAGAAAATGATCCTTTTAGCTATTTTCAACTTCTTGCTATTGCCTGTTGAAGCTCTAGTACAGGCATAGGCAACATTTGGCATTGCAGATGTTTTGGACTACACCTCCCATGATGCTTTGCCAGCACTATGGCTGTAAGTGCATTGTGGGAGATGTAGTCCACAACATCTGGAGTGCCGAAGGTTGCCTATCCCTGCGTCTAGTACCTCAAGTGCCTGTATTAGACAGAACATACTTTATATATTTATATCGTGGGGTGATTATGCAGGAGCATACCATTCATTGCCAATGAACTGAATTGATTGTAGAACTAAAACAACCCCAATTTATCCACCAAAAGGAACCTCTCAGTTTGACTTTGTATGTTCATTTTTGTTTTGTAATTGCATTATGATCCCTTCACTAACATTTATTAAAGGAACACAATAGTCAGGAATATATAGATCTATATTCCTGACTATTGTGTTCCTTTAATAAATGTTAGTAGGTATAGGAGGCGGTAATAGGGAATATATACCTGACACTTGAAGTCCCTTGCCGCCAGATAATTATTTAACTTGCCTTTTTTACAGCACCATATTGGTTTTTGCAGCTGGCTTTGACCCTCCTTGCGTGAGAACATAAAACTTGATCTCTGCCTATCCAATGCTTTCTCATGGGGAAAGCATTGGCAGACTATTGCGCAGCTGCCGCAAACACTGACGTGCCAATCAGCATCTCCTCATAAATATTATTTGGATCAATGCATCTCTGTGACGAGCGTATAGCACGGAGTTGCTGAACTCAGGAAGCACCTCTAGTGGCAATCTGCCATGTTCCTAGACAGCCATTTAGAAAGTGTTTATATTAAAAAGCCTGCAGGGACAGACTATAGACACCAGAACAACATTAAGCTGTAGTTGTTCTGGTGTCTATGAGGGTACCTTTTAAGTAACCAAACAAATGTATTTATACCATCAATGACATGAGAAATCATTGGGGGGGAACATATGAAAAAGCAATATAGTGTGGTCTGCTGTCCTAAAACACTTACTGTATGTCCCATATTCCAATAAAATTTAATCTTATCCCTTGAACTGCTGGTATGTAAGATTAAACATTCCAAGCATATCCTGTTTTAATACAGCCTCCACGGTAAATACATTTACAGCCTAATTGACCTTGCATTTGTTCTTCTGCAGCAGATGAAGCTATTGTGAGAGTATGGCAGGTTTTTATTTATTTTTTTATAAACCACAATACAAAATGCCGACCTTTATGCGTTAGCATTTCCAAAGGAGTTTTTGATGTCTTAAACAACCACACTATACCTTTGACTGGAAAATCACCTCTAACATGCCTTGGTATTTGATTGGCAAAATCTATGGGCATCACGACTCGCATTAGCTATCAGCAGTTTCTCAAATTCCACACAACTGTAATTGTATGGTAGAAATGAGAACCTTTTTGGTTGGAGAGGATCAACTCCTTTAAGATGTCAATCTTACCAACTATATTGTACTACTTGTCCACTATATCGTTAGCTATAGTAGCTTATATTCTCAAATGTTATCAGACTTTGGTCAAGAACTGTGTTTGAGGGGGGTGTGTGCCCTGGTTGTACCACATATGCTGTTGGCTTCTTGGAATTATGCTAAAATTCCTCTTGAAACCATATGTAAAAGTAGACCACATGGTAACCCACTGAGAAAATCTAGACTAGCCTTGCAAGTTGGGCATACTGCTTGACCTCGGTATCAGCTGATCGGAGGGGGGAGGGCTCCAATGACGATCGATACACACTTCCCCTCCCTTTACTCTGATAGGTTGATGGAAACAAGTTGGAGGCAATCCCCTGTATTCACAAGGTATTTAAACCGGGGTTCTGAACGCTTGGCTTCACTTGCTCCTGACGATGGCATGTAGATACACTGACACGCGCGTCAAGACTTTTTTTCACTAGGTAGGAACTAGTGGATTTATCCACTGTGCCAAGGTATTATTAGGGAAAGTTACTTGGTATACAGACCACTCTGTGCACGTCTATCTTTATTTTTCCATATCATTATCTTCCCCATAACCTCCTCCTATACCTACCTTTTCCTTGTGGGCATGTTTTTTTGTCAGAGTGGGGGTATTCTTGTCTTTGTTTTATTTAGGGTTTAGTGGGGAGTCACCTCCTATGTGTGGACCTTCGACATATTTATTAGCTCCTCTACCCTATATTTGTATATATACCCCATCTCTTCCCTCTCCCCATTTATTCCAAGTTCCTGGTTACTGTCTATACTTCTACTCCTAGATACTATCTAGGCAGAGGTTAATCTCTGTATTTCCAGAGCTTCATCTCAGGACCCCCTTGTCCCGAGGGATTCCTTCTTTACTTTTGTCTTTTATTAAGGTTACCCCCATCTTTGAAGCTCTGTTGGAGGCTGTGATGAACTGAGCCTCGTCACGTGTTCTTGGAGAGGCCTGCTGGCCAGCCTCTTACCAAAAGACTATGCCCTTTAAAAAACCATGTGAACAGTCTTGATTCGTGGAATTTTATATTTGGTTCGGGAACCGAACAGCCACACAAACCGGACACCACACTGGAGCTTGTTAAGCCTAATTGCTACTTTGTAGCAATTTCCACCTCAGTGTTCATCTGGATGGCCGCAATTCCTATGGACGGCCACGAGGTGGCAGCCATGTTAATCCCGCAAATGCAGGTAGCGGTGTTCGGACGTGTATCTCATGGAACTGAAAACGGACACAGAAACTCCTGAACACCGCAGCATCGCCTGCGTTCAGTTCTACAACACTTAGAAAGGCGCTGTTCGGTGGAAATGTTCCCACGAACAAGTGGATCAAGCTCCAGGGTAAGATTATTGACTATTTTCGGTAGTTTGTTCAGTTTTTAAATTGCTGACTGGACCGACCGCAAGCCCTGATTCTCTGGAACTGTTTTGGGCATGGGACCATGCGGGTGGGCAGTCAAATTATGACTTCCAGGAAATTCCTGAACCCCTCAACCGATCTGGGCGATTTTTGGATATGTTGGTCATCCAGATCAGGACTGTCAGGGGATGTAACTTTTGTGGGGATTTTGTGTTTTTTAATGTATTTTGGGGGTTTTGTAAAAATTTATGTTTTCTGTGCCTGGAGATAATGGAGGTTAATACAGTGGCTGACTCAATTATCTCCCAGGCGTAGGGGAGGGATTGACCTATTTTCTATGGGAGTGTCCTGGACCTGAGAGCCAATGTAATCGTGTAAATGTTTTTACTGTAGTCTACTCTCTGGTCCAGGGGGGGAGTGCCCCTTGCATGGGGACCTGCAAATAAGGCCAGTTGTTGCTGTCATTAAAGAGCTTCGTTTTACCCTTCATGAAGTCTAGGCTCATGTTTAGGGGATTGGAGAGCTATATTCATTCTGGGGATTGCTATAATCACTATACTCCCATGGATTATAATCACTTGCTTTTATAAGAGCTATCCTGCTTTGCTCTCTGGACTAGGAGAGGTCTACCCACTGGAAACTGGATCCTGGTCTTGAGTCCGTGGTGGGTGGAGGACAACGAGACCCCAACCAAGCTGCAGTGGTTTGTTAGGATTACGTGGTTATGGTGCTCGCAAGTACTAGGAAGCAGCGATTGACTGAGGTACCTGGTCGGACTGCCAGGCGATCCGTCACAGAGGCTTTTTACGGTCAAGCCTTGTACCCTTGATGCTTCATGGGGATCTAGACTTGTCCTTTCCTACCACACTTTATTTTTTACATGGTAACCTTAATAGAAGGTCAACGTCCAGTAGCGGACTAAAAAAATGCAGTTCTTACACGTGATTGTTTAAACATGCATCCTGAGTAAAAAAAAAATACAGTTCCTTTTGTGATAAAAAGTATCTGTGATTATTGTAACAAGTCTGTGGGTACAGTCTCTAATTCCAGTGTATTATATCTTCACTGGAATGAACATGGACTCCCAAAACTGTAGCCATGTATTACAGCAAGTAAAAATCCTCTATACTGTCATCTTTCTTCAGATTGCCTTTCCGCAGTGGTGTCCACCGTACTCTTTCCAAACCTCCTTCCCAGGTAGACAATTATAAGGTTCAAAGAATGCCAGGGGATGAAGCAGCTTAGGGATCAGTTTCATAGTACAGACCAGGCATGGTCAATGGGTTTTGCCCACATATGGGGCTTTGTCAAGATAAAGTGCAGCCCATTCTAAGCGTAATATATGCCGTTCATTCCATGTTTTTTTTGTTTTTTTTAAACAGAATTATGCAAATATCAGTTAAAAAAAACACAAATATTAAAATTGCAATATAAAATAAATATTAAACTGCAATTTAGTTTACAGATAAATTATAAAAAGTAATGGTGAATAAATACATCACTTACCAGTGACTTATAGTGCAGAAAATAATTACTAGTTGGGGACTATATGTTCAATTCTCTCAATGTAATCCCTGTCCACTTCCCTTTGCTCTGTAAATGTTATGCTAACATACCTCTGTAGCCTCCAGGTCCTCTGTCAATGTTGGCAACCCTGCTGACATTGCACACAATCTCGTCCTATCCAATGCTTCTCATAGAGAAGCAATGGGGATGATCATACATGCACATCAAAGCGCCATGCTCCTCCAATCACATGCTGCGATGAGAAGCATTTGATTGCAGGGCCAAGTTTGTCTTGCTTAACCAGGTAATGTAAACATTGGCATTTTTACAAAAGGGTTAAAACAACAGGACCACCGCACCCAAATCACTTCATTGAGATGGCTTACTTTAGTGGTCCTTTAAATGTTTTATGGTAGTGTTACGTGGAAACAGAAGCAGCAGGTACTATGAGTCAGGCTGGGCAAACTGATGGTGCAATACACTTTTTTACCTACATGGGATGGGAGATAATCTGAGAACGCTTCACAGGAGGAAGTC